CAATATATTCTGTGACATTACTAAATCAGACACTTATAATTTTTCAGAAAAAGAAATGATTGGGACAAAGTAAAATTACTTCCATTTTAGCTTCAACTCAATTCAGTTTATTTATGTGCACTGCAAAAACAAAATCTTTAGTATTTTTGGTCTAGTTTCAAGTGCAAATACCTCGGTACACTTGAAATAAAACAAAATTAACTTACAAGTAATTTTTCAGTAAGATATAGGATCTGGATTTAAATATATTACAGCTTAATATTGTCGAAAAAGTATTAGTTCCATTGGCAGATTAATTCCCTTATAACATGGGAAAATGTCTTGTTATATATGACATAATCTGCCAGTGAAACATGTATTTTTTCATCAAAAAGAAAGAGTTAAACTGAAAAGAATTGAAGCTGGCAATCACAAATACTTTACATCTGCCATGTTTGATCCAGAAGCAGTGATACAACACAACGCTGCTTCCTCCGCGCCCTCAGTTCCTCTGAACTGGACCGACCCACAAGTCTCTCTGGTGGATATAATCTGACCTGCATCTCTTCCTGTTCCCCGGTGATCCCTTTGTTCTTTGACATCAGTGCGGGCTACACCTTTACTCCGGAACCAAATCAGCTGCACCAACCGGATATTTTTATTGAAACTCAAGCTGCAATTTTTTTTAATCTACTTTAAAGACGCAGTTCGAATGCAAAAAAAATAACATGTTATGTTGCGCTCCAAAGATACACATTAGGATGTATTATATAATCATTAGAAGAAGATGGAAGACAGGAGAATAAAACTGATACTTGTAATTCCTTTCTTCAAATTAAAGGTACATATTTGGTAAATTAAATCTTTTTGTAAGGGGTATATGAGAGCCGTTGAATGTTTCTGTAGTTCACATTCTCATCTGTCACACTGAAGCTGAAATGATGACTGGATGCATTTCATGTAGTGCAGGTGAAGCAAAATGGAAAAACCTTAGCCTTTATATATTGTAGATGAGGAAAAAAACTATTAAACAAATTGGAGTAAAGATTGTTTATGTTATGCTGCTACTATGATATTGCTAGGCATGAAAACATTGTCCTTATTTTGTGGTTGTTTATGTCCAATTAAATAAAGTAGCAGTATATCGACATGGCAGCAATTTTCAGGACATTTCCATCTCCAACATGTCTTCTTTCCTTGAATCCTCTTCCACACACACGGTGACACATGCCTAAAATATATCTTAAGCCATCTCATGTCAGTAGAGCCAGCTCATAGCTACAGTCATATTTGTGCCCAGGCCAAATCCGTTTTAGACTTACATTAGCATTGTTGTCATTCAGTTCCACGTATCTCTTTGATCAGTCGTGTGTGGCTGTTGCTGCGTTTGAGGCTCAACATTTTTTGGTAAATCTGTTGTATTTTATCTGGACAATGTGAAACCACAGCGCAGATTATTGTCGTTAAAGTGGACTCTCTCTGTGGGATACCGTATTGTGTTTCCTTTTTAGATGAGTGTTCTCATAACTGATGTATGCTGCAGCTGACAGACAACATGGATTACTCATTAGGCTTCTGCCAGATTGTGAGATCATTAGTTAAAAGTAGATGTGAGTGGACTCCTGCCTTGATTTCTTAAAAGGTTTGGTAATTTGCTCAAACGCTTGCAAATTAAAACAATTTTATCTTCAAAAACGAGGGCTCTCTCTGTTTCCAGAAAAACTAATTTTATTTTTGATTACATGCATTATGGTGCTTTATTTTCTTTTCAGTTATTTGACGGAGATTAGGATTGCCTTATCTGATGTAGCTTTCTTACATCATACATTGAAGAAGAGCTCAACGGCTGACTGCACTTCAAAAACACAAAGTCTTACCAAGTATTTTTGTCTAGTTTTTACTCTAAGTAACCTACAAGTAACTTTTCAACAAGACATAGGAGCTTGTTTTAAGTCAATAATTTCCTAATATTGATAATAAAAAATATTTACATGAAAAATACACATACATACCCCCTTACAATGACACCTTTTTACTGTTTAATGATTTAATCTCTTGGGGTATGAAATAAAATTTTTAATTGTTTTTGAAGAAAAGAGGAAGGCAGCACGTTTGCCCTGAAGGAAGCAGCTCAAATGAGGATCTTACATGGTGTTCATTGTCTGTATGAGGATTTATGCCTTCCCCAAAACTCTGTCCACGTATATTTTTTCATGCTTGGCAAAGTGGTTCCTAACAGTTTGCTGGCTGTGGTCACTATACTTCTCAATGATTTCTTCTGAGCCTCTGTAGCCAAACCAGCAGATGTTACAAAAGGTTGAGATATTCTCAATAAAAGCAGAATAGAATATTAAAATTATTGAGTCTGAACATCCCAGTTTATTAGACAGTACAGTCTCTGCTAAGCCTTGGGGCTCATAAAGTGAATCCATGAGTCTTAGTTTAAGTGACAGTCCAGAACCTCGCCCAGGTGCTTGTGGGAAAATGACTGAAGTTTCTTGAAGTCGATAGTAATTAGTTTTATTTTTGTCATGTTCTGAAATAGTTAGAATTTTATTTTGCACCAAGTAATGAAGAACTCAAGGACTGGTCCATGCTCCTCTTTGGGCCAGGGTTGTGTCGTCAGCATATTTAATTAAACGCTTGTTTGTGAAAGTTCTGCAGGAGTTTGTGTTCAGAATAAAAAACAATGAAGATGAAACACATCCCTGAGGAGAGCCAGTGCTGGTTGTTGTTTTTTCAGAGTTTTGAATGTAGGGCTGGACAATAAATCAATAACAATATATATTTTGATAGACATATACATAATCAATTCAGTAATTTCACTGAATTCTGATCCAGAACCGTGTGGCATTCTGGGGGATGTAGGAAAGGCTTTAGCTGCTCATCCTCTCTCAGCCAGCTAAGCTAGGTTGGTGGTATCAACTAACTCACTCCATCTTTGGTTGCCTAGCGACAACCTGTTGCAGCAGCAGTTTAAGGTTTAGACATCACGCCTAATAACCTCTTAAAAATATAAAACAACGGCGTGGATGGAACGGAAAAATATGTCCAACATCTCGAGAGGAAACTGTGAATCAAACAGGAAAAGTCATGTCACTAGTTTGGTAGTATTTAAGAGATATAAAACAAAAACCTAATCAATAATAATCGATATCAACTGATATAAACCTGTTGTCATCCAACCCATATATACAGCTCTGGAAAAAATTAAGAGACCTCTTACCATGATCAGTTTCCCTGATTTTAGGAATATGTTTGAGTAAATTGAAGATTCTTCTTTTATTCTGTGAACTTCTGACAACATGTTTCCAAAATTCCAAGCAAAAATGTAGAATTTGCAGAAAATGAGAAATGGCCAAAATAATGATAAAGATGCAGAGCTTTCAGACCTCAACTAATGCAAAGAAAACAACTTCATATTCATTTAGAAGCAACAATAATAATGTTTTAACTCAGGCAGAGTTCAGAAATAGATATTTAGTGGAATAACCACGAGGTTACCGATTCAGACATCTGGGGTTTTGTGTCAGCCGATCCCAATCTGATACAGAAAAACAGCTGAAATGACCTAAAATGTTTCTTTTTTTAAAACACAGACATAAATGCACTTAATTACAAATTGATTTTGTGACTCTGGACAAGTTCAGCACCCTTTAATACACCAATAGCTTTACAAAATTGGTTAAACATGTAAAAACAACTTTAATTTGCAATAAACAATCAAGAAACTGACAAAAACAATAAGTGGACTGTTTTAGTGAAAAATGTAAAAATAAATGGAAAAATTTTTTTTTTTTTTTTTCAAATGGTTCAGAAAATGCAGCTGGGAATTATAAATAACATAAAATAAGTAATAAAGTATAGAATCTGACTGAATGTGGATTGGGTACTTTGTCTCAATACCAGACCTAAAATTTGTTTTCAATATCGGGACTAATACAGATATTAATATTATCTGTAGAAATAGAGATAATATTTAGAAGAATAATGTGTACATTAAATTGGGAGTATAAAATCTGATATTGTAATCCTAAAAATCAATTTTCTTCATTTTCCTAGAGTAAGACTGAAAAAGTAACTCCTGCCTGTAAGCCTGCCACTTGCAGGATTGACAGGCAAATGCATATATTCAGAGGTAAACAGGCTGCGTGAGTGCATGCAAACAGTGAATAAATAAACAAATTCTCTCCCTCTCAGATACACCCACTGCCGAACGCACATCCATCCAAAGCGGCACAGTTTGACTTGGGCTCTTCAAGTGTGTTTCACTCTGACAGTAATTGACAAGACTCACAGGAGTGAGCAAATTCACTTGACATGGAAAGCTTTGGAGTTTTTCAGAATTCCCATCCTGGCCTTTCCAAGTGCATGTGTTTCTATGTGCGCAGGAGGGGGGATGGCGGAGAGGTGGGGAAGGATATGGCTCCGTTGTGTTTCCTGTGTCGCAGTTTACTGTTTTTTAGAGCAAGAAAAATGGGCTTATGTAACGGTCATGTGATTTAGCCAGAAATAGTGGTGGGGCTACAGCTGCTGCCTCTCCTCCTGCAGCTCGGTTCCTTGGCTTTTGGCAGCAGCCAGACAGACACACTGCGCACTGCTCCTGCTAGCTCAGAAAACAACTTCTGCTCTGTCCTGTACACGAAAAACATAAATCCCATGATGTAGATTGTAAGGATAAGTCACAGAATGTCGTCTTTGCAGAACTGCAAGTAAACAAACAAACATGCTCATACATGACATTCAGTCAGGGCAAAAATCTCATGAGTTATGAAATAAGCATACAGGAAGGTACTTATGAACATGGACACATTTATACAACATTATATTAACACAATGTCAACTAAAGCCTGGGGGAAGTAAACATTGCATTGGGGGTCACTGAGGTCACAATGCCTCTGCGTATCTTTCAGTCTGAGCCAGCGCTGTGTTGTTTTTTTTTAATGTGTTTTATTTCAAATATTAAAAAAAATATCTATACATGTGTGTGTGTCTTCATGCATGTGTGCATTTGTGAGTGAATGACTGTGTTTGTGCATAGGCAGGAGCATGCCTGTGTGTGGGCGTACGGTGCTCAGAGGCTGGCGGACGTGTGGGAAAAAAGGGATTGAGACGCAGTTATAGAGGAGAAGACGAGTGAAAAGAGGAGGAGGAGGAGGAGGGGAGCTGTACAGTGAAGAGCTAGTGGAGCGGAAGGAAGCACTCTGAAATGGGAGATCATTGGGTTTAGCTAAGGGCTAGGCAGGAGGCAGGAGGGATTCTCGCCATGTTAGCATCACTGTCAGAAATAGCCGAGCTGCAGCCAGTGCCCTGCTTCCACCAAATCCCTCATGCTATTTACTGTATAACGCACTAGCAGTCATATATGGTTGGTAGCATGAGAAAAATAACTAAGTCATTTCATTTTCACAAGGATGTTTATGAATTTTCAAATAATTTACGTTTTTTTTTTTTTTTTTAATTCCAGGTGATTCTTCTCCATGATTGTCAAATATCACTTTTTTTCATAATGCGTCATGTGAGGCCCAAATTCATGAGGTCTGTTTGTTCTTTCAGGTCAGCACAACTACCTGTGCGCTGGCAGAAATGACTGCATCATTGATAAGATCCGAAGGAAAAACTGCCCAGCCTGTCGGGTACGGAAGTGTCTTCAGGCTGGGATGAACCTGGGAGGTGAGCTGCTTGAAATTCCAGATTTGCTCTGTCACATGTCAGCACCTGAGGAAGCGTGAGTCTGTTTATAGGGAGTGATAGATATGGAAAAGTAGGTCTGGCTGTAGTAACAGGAGGCCTAGAGATGCTGAGTCATTAGATGTTCATGAGGTTAAATCACGTCTACTGTATTTCATGTTCTGATGAAGGCTCAGTGTTGAGTTTTAGTAAAAATTACACTGTTTAAGAAGAGTCTTGATGGTGTGTTAGGGCGATAGAAAGAAAAATAAAGAAAATTATTAGAATAAAGTCGTATGAGAAGTTGAAATAATAGAAGAATATAATTACAATATGGGAATAAAGTCATAATATTTCAGGAATAAAGTTGTAAAATCATGACTGTATTTGATAAAATATTAAAATAATTCATTTCACTGTGGTATTGAATGAATTAGATTTTTTATACTAATACCAAGTAGATAAACTCACTCCTTTTCTGGTACTCAATAAAATATATAAAAAGAAATCGATATTGCACATATGAGTTCCTGAACATTTTTGCAAAACTTAAATTCTGTTTTATGTACCTGTAATATTTCTTGGGTGAGTTTTCATTGTTCAGAATTAAAAATAGTGATATTGGAGCAATGAAGCATCAATAACGTAATATTTCATTACAGTTATAGTTTAAAAGCCACATATTGCCATCCCTTCCAGTGGAAACGAACAGGTGTAATGAATTTTAAATAAACTGCACTCATCCCGACTCCTGACAGCAAGAGAAAGGAAAAATCAGAAGTTTGATCTGGCTTACAACTTGCTAAGTCAGCAAAAATACTTTACAAGTTGTACCTAAATTGTGCCTTTGACATAATTTATAACACTTTCATAGCATTTAACTCTGGTTCTTGTGATTGATTTAAAACATATCTTAGAACATACATGCTCTATAATATTCTCACCTGTTAAAATCTCTGAAAAGGCTTTAATAATAATGTAGCTCCTTCTCTTTACCTCCATGAAAGTCTTTTTTCAATAAAACATATCCACTAAGGTTGGCGTTCGAGTATAAGCAAGGCAATCCCTTCAGGATTTTGCAATTTATTGTGATTTTCTTTGCAATTAAAATCACTGATTTTGCAGTGATATTTTAGAAATGTGAGTGGTTCAGTAAAAGTAAGAAATACTGCCACCTGCAGTCTCTTAAATTTTTTCTTTTTTACAATTTTGCGGAAAGTTAGCAGTAAGCTCATATCAGCATACACTAGCGTGGAAAAATTTGGAAATTTGTTGATTTTGTGTGAATTTCTGAGATTATGGAATCGTGAAAAACTGGAGAGATTGACTGGGAGATAAATGGAAAAAAAAGAAGAAAAAAACACTGTTGATAATCAACCATTAAAAAATACTGAGGATCCTCCCAAACAAAGAGTTAAAAAAATGAAAATAGGCATTAATTTAGAGTAATATTTCTAAAGTAGATTTATTAATAATGACTCTAGAAAACCTGAACCATCTTAAACCTATTAGTTATTGTACACAAAGAAAGACGAGTGTTAAAGAGGGTCCTGAAGCAGAAAACCAATACCAACAACATGATCGGTTTCAATACCAGTCAGTCATAAAAAAGCTTTTGTAATTAATGTTTAATATGCAACAGGATCAAAAGTAACACTGTATTGTTAATTATTTAACAATTAAACTATCAAATGGCAGTACACCTCTAGAGTTCATCTGAATACCACCAGTCACTGCTTGAACGTTCAGGAACTACCAAGAAGAAAATATTTCAGAATTTAACTCTCATGATTCAGAATAAAGTCTGAATAACAACAAATGACTGCTGAGTTAAATAAATACAACACAGAGAGGTCAGTTTCCAACTGAGGTGATAGATGATGAAAACGTATGAGTTATTATGAAAGCTCAAAGCGGATGATGAATGAGTCCATATTCCATCATTTTAGCAGCTTTTTAATCCATTGAATATGTTTCAAGTTGCAAATAAAGAGATAAACAAACTAGAAATCTCAGCAAAGTTTTTGTATTAATACATATTGTGATTACTGCAGCAGTTAAAAAGTTGAATGAGAAATAGTATTGTGCTCAAATTGTTATTTTTATTTTTTTTTTTTTAAATTGTAAAACAATCTAACCCAGACTTGACAACATATGGTGGATATAAAACATCTCCTAAATGTCTGGTATGTTTTTTTATTTGTTTGTTTTTTATTTTGAGATTTTAACCAGGTCTGAACATTCAAGATTATTGGAAATCCTTCTCCAGTTATGACTTTCCTCACAGTTATTTGGTGAAATAAACTCACTCTGTCTCAGACATGGAACATAATCAGTAAAGCAGTCAAATTACCATTACTGTTAAAGACCAAAATACGTTTTCATTTATTACACATTCCTGTATTGTAAAATGTGTGAGTGCCAGAATTTCACAGCTTCTTCTCTGATTTAATTGGTGGATGTATTTTATTGATACAAGATAACAGAGGTAAACTTAATAAATTCAATTATGGAGTTCAAAATACATTGAAAACTTATGCACTTTAATCATGAGCTGACATTAAAATGGATAATTAATTTGACTCCAGGGAATTTAAAATAAGCTTTTTTATTGATAATTTTAACAAGCTAATGTTCTTGTTAATGAGAGCTTGAAAATAAGTGTGGATGGAAAGTTGAGGATCAGCTCAATAATGTTGCATTTTATGAATAAATTTTCCAATAATATATTCTCAAATATGACCAGGCTGTCCATAAAATCACGAGTTCAAGCAAAACTGAATTATTTTAAGAAATAAGGAATCCTTTCTTGGAATATGTACTTTATGTGATAAGCAAAGTTAAAAAGTTCCACACACACACACACAAAAATGTTATTTATTGATATTTGGATGTTTTTTTTTCTTTTTTTATGTCTTTGCTTTTTAAATAGCTGTGATCTCATAATTCCAGATTAAAGCTGAAATATGCAACCGTCCTAAAAAATATATTTTTTAAATATTTGTTGAAACTATCACCATGTCATGACAGTAAGGTATGACACAAATAATCTGTAAAAAAAAAAAAAAAGTCAAGCTCCACTAGCTTCTCCCAGTGCTAACTAGAAACAACCAATCAGAGCTAGGAGGTGGGTCAAACTGTCACAAAACAAAGATGTTAAAAAATATATATTTTATAAAAGTTACACACTGCAGCTTTAAGAAATGTAGCCATAAATTCTCCATTAATATGGTTGTTTTGTTCCCCACAGCACGGAAGTCTAAAAAGTTAAAACTGAAGGGAGTTAACGAGGACCTGCAGAGCTCCAAAGATGCCCAGATTGCCACAGGTGGCGTTGGGGGCGGCTACCTGTCCTCGGAGAAGGAGCTGAGTGCCAGCGCTGCCAATGCCCTGGTGCCCCACGGGCCTGGGGTGCTCACACCTTTTCTGCCACCCTCCATCTGCAGCGTGCTGGAGCTGATCGAGCCCGAAGAGGTGTACTCTGGCTATGACAACTCACAGCCAGACACAACTGACCACCTGCTGTCCAGTCTCAACCGCCTGGCTGGAAAGCAGATGGTACGCATGGTGAAGTGGGCCAAAGTACTTCCAGGTTAGTGACCAGCAGAGGTCTAAATACTGCTTTTGTGCAGGGATTAGAAAAAAAGACTTAAGAAGCGCTCAAAGATATTTTTAGAAAATCTCCTAATTTCATGTATTTAGATTTTTTTTTAACAAATGTTGGCAGACTTTGGATTATAGGACGATTTAGATCGTCTGAGATCTAAATCGTCCTATTAATACATTTTAATAAATGTATTCTAAAAATATTTTCCCTTGAGGGTAAAAATGTTATCGATATTGATTAAAATGTGCCATTAAAGCTGCACATGTTACTTATAAAAATATTTTTTACATATTTGTTGAAACTGTCACCAATTCCTGACAGTTTGCTATAAGACAGATAATCTGTGAATTATCTGCCTTTAAGTACTAACTAGAAACAACCAATCAGAGCCAGGAGGAGGGACATAGTGCTGTCAGTCACCATTTGTGTGGCGCTGCTCATCCTCCTTTCCCTGCCCAGTTTGCTTTCTGCTATGCAGAGAATGTCATAAATGTTAAAGATAGCTACATGGCTATTGAAGAGGGCAGATAAATGTTTTTCTTCTAACAGTAGGTTGATTCTGCCTTTAATTGAGTAGTAAGTACATGAAGTTGATTGACAGCGCTAAGACCCTCCTCCTGGCTCTGATTGGTTGTTTTTGGTTGGGAGCAGCAGTGCCATTTCTTCAGATAACAACAGCAGCTCAGGAAGGAGATGAATAAGATCATATTCTTTCTAAAAGTTATTACTACTATTAAAGCATGAAAATACTTTTTTTATGAATCCATCAAATAAAGAAATCATATCACAGATAAAAAGTGTTTGATTATGAAAATTCAGTACAGTGCCTTACCTTCTCAGTTGTTCATCTGGCAATCCCAAAGTTCAATATGTTTTATTGGAATGTGATACAGAGGCAGATATAGGCAAACTATTACATAACTGTAAAGTGGAAGGAAAATAATTCATTGTATTTAAGTAGTTTCTGATGCAGCTCCAAGTATTTCAGGCTGCATCTTTACCAGCTCTGAAAATTGAGACTGAAATGTTTTGCCCATTGCAAAACAGCTCAAGCTCATTCAGAGTGCAAATCAGTGCTGGACTCATCTGACCAGACCCTCTTCTTCTTCTTCTTCTTTTTTTATGTATTGACACTATCACCTACATTCCTTGTGCCAGACTGGAAACAGGGATTCCTGACTTTTGCAAAATGTTTTAATGCTCATTTTAAGGTTTGTTTTGGCTTTTTCGAAAAAGAGTTGATCCGCTAAGAGGGAAAGTTGTTGAATAATTTCAAACATTTACCTCATGTGACTGATTTAATGTTTCTGCTGTTCGAATCATTAAAATTTAATTTCTTACTATACATCTCCACACAGCATTACAATTACAACTTGTCCGATAGCTAAACATTCCTGAAAACCTGCCTCCATTTCTGTGACTTCCTGTTCAATACAGCCATCCGAAACATAAACATCTGAAGAAACTACGCCTTACCTGGTTGATTCACTCCAAGCCAGTAGATGGAAACACACTTAATTTTCAATTTCTTTTCTTTTTCCTTTTTGTGACATTTTAAAAGTCTGCTCAAAATTTGGTGACTTATAAAGGTGAAAGCTTGCACTGAATTTTGTTTATGGGTATCACTTTAAAAGGAACTGTCTTTTGGAAACCATGTATTATTTTCCTTCCAAGTCATAATTATGCACCACTTCATATTGGTCTATAATTTAAAGTCTCTCTAAATTACTTTTGGGTTTGTGGTGATAATGTGATAAAATGCAGAAGAGTTGAAAACTTTTGCATCTCTCCGTATAAAAAGATAAAGTTCCCAGATCTTTTCTCGTTATCCATTAAAGATGCAGCACTGCTAGTTTTGTCAGAGCCCACAATTTCAGTTTTGAATATTAGGTCAGGAAAATATTCTTCAAAGGCTCAACAAGATTATAAATGAATCCTATTTCACCGTTAAATAGAATCAGGATTAGGCTTTCCAAACAGAACTCATTTACATGACCATTGTCTGTGTGGAAGATCTTATTCAATTTTATGGATAAAACCGCAACCTAGAATGAGAAAAATGTTTGGAAAGAGATAAACAAGTTCCTCTAAAATCCCAGTCAGTGGCATACGTATGGAAAGGTGCATCACAGGTAGGTCTTTGAGCATGTTTAATTTGCTGTATTGCAAATATTTGATACCTCCAATGGTGTCTGCTTCTATATCCGGAAGTATAAATAGAAGCCAGACAGAAGGGTCAAAATGAGTACCTTCGACTTTCAGATATGCCACAGTCTGCCCTCGGTTCAGACAGAGCACACACACAGAGGAGCATGAACCAGTTATGCCATTGCCAACAATGTGTGTCTCTCCTACACTTGATCTGTTCAGGTTTTTAGAGCTGCATTATTAAAAACCCAGCTGCTTTTTAAAAACTGCTAGGCTTTCTACACTTCAAGATCAATTTAAAAGTAATAATTTTAAATGCCTTCAAGCCATTCGACAAACCGTTTTCACAAACCCCCTCAAATAAATGCAGATTGTCACGTATTTAGATGGAAATATTCCCTCAGCCTCTATAAGTCACTTGTGCGTCCTCACTTGGCCTACGTTTCTGCATGAGAAGGAGATTCTTGCCAGAGTTTGATTGAGAGTTTGGCAACTTTCCTCTTTGACTATTTTTGGAGCTTCATACACAAAGCGCCAATAACCAGAGGCCTTGTGGGATTTGCATAAAAAAAAGAATGGGTGAATACTTGTCACTGGGTATCTTGTCAAAGCAAACGCTGGTACAAATATGCACACTTTAGCAAAGATAAACAGTGTGTAATGCAGTGACTTCCATAAACACACACATACAAACTCTGTGTATTAAATTAGGTTTTCCAAACGTATTTATCTCAGTTTTAAGTGATCTCTGCTTCCTTTAAACGAGATGTTGCCCTATGATGTGTGTATTATGGTGTTTGTGTGCTAGGTTTCCGGGGCCTGCCCATTGAGGACCAAATCACCCTGATCCAGTACTCATGGATGTGTCTGTCCTCCTTCTGCCTCAGTTGGCGCTCCTACAAACACACCAATGGTCAGATGCTCTACTTTGCCCCGGATCTCATCTTCAACGAGTAGGACCGCACTTTTATGTTGTTGTTGTTGTTTGTTTTAGAATAATAAATCTCAACAATTACATGGGGAATTGCTAATGATTTCCGCTGGAATTTAGTTTTATCTCTTAAAAAGACAGTTTGCACATCCGGAGCCTTTGATGGTCTCATGTTGGAATAACTCCAATTTATTCCCTGTAGGATGTGCAATTCGCCAAGGCAATCCACTGTCCACTGAGCATTAGACTCCTCAGCAAACTCAATTAAGAGGTATTAGACATTAAGGGCATTAGAGTTGGCAGCACTGAGACCCATTTGACCTTGTATGCTGGTGACCTTCGAGACGAGCCAGACATTCCTATCCTTATCCTGCTCTACTGTAAATCAATTTATTACTATACAATAAATTAGGAAAACACTTAATGTTTTTTCAACAGATTTATCTTTTCTGAGATTATATATTTTAAACATGCATATTAAATGCAAAGCTGTAAAAACGAGTATTTTCCCTTTAATTATTTCTTCTGTTATAGTTCCTCAAACTAATTTTAAAACAAGGCTAATATAAGCTGATGAAAAAGAAGTCCATTTTAAATTATTGTTTTATTTATTAATGGGCTCCATTTTTCTAGCACACCCAGGCCTGATTACTGATTGATGTCCTGTGTGCTTTCTGACTAAATGAGGCAAAATCAGCAACAGTTTGCAAAACTCAACAACTATAAAAATAACAACCTGAAGAGCAATAGTGTGGTAGGTGTGTGAAAACAAAATGGATCCTGCCCCACATAAAATAATATGTTGAAACATTTTTTGTCATTGACAGGCAGTGCACTGCAAAATTCACCAAATCCTACTAAGTATTTTTGTCTACTTTCTAGTGCAAATATCTTAGAACACTTGAAATAAGACAAAACTAACTTTCAAGTAACTTCTTATCAAGTTATAAATACATATAAAATTTATGAAAAACAAGTTTCCTGTAAGTTAGTTGTGTCTTATTTCAAATGTACTAAACTAGATCAAAATTACTCTGTAAGATTTTGTGTTTGTGCAGTGTGAGTGTCAATATGGCTGATTTTAGTGCTTTAGCATTAGCTTCTGCTAAATACCATGTTGGTATAGGGCTTTAGCATTAGCAGAACTAAGGTTTATGATTAGTTCTTTAGAGTTAGCACAGCTAACTTGTTTCCAGATGCTAGTAAAGAAAGATGATCATAGATTTATTTTAGCTTTATTATATTTTATCAGTATATATTCTCCATCAATCAAAAAGTGAGATTTAATTTTTAATATCCAGTTAAAATACATTAATTAAGCCACACTTCCCAATCCTGATTCCCTGAAAGCAATTTTAGTCCAACAAACTAAGATAATTCGAAGCTTAAATAGCATAAAAGTTACCAGTTGGAGGTACATTATATCCCCTTTGCTTGTATTAGATTATTTGTTTACACCTTTGTGTTATTTCTTTAATATGTAAGTTTTAACTTTATCAGTGGTGAAATTCTGAGGGTCTCTCCAGAACCATGGATGAAATTCTTTCATGAAAAATGTTCAGATCAACATGAGTCAGTGATTATTGTAATGCACTGAAAGCAAAGAAAGAATCACAGAATTACAGAAAAATTAAAAATGGAGAAACATTTGCTCTGTTTTGATGGCTAAATCTTTACAGGTGAAGATGATCAAAGCATCTGAACAATAGGCTCCTTAATATGTGTTAATTGTGTGAAGAGGAAGCTTAAAAGCTGCTGTTAGTGAGCCTTTAATCTGGTGATCATTTAAATGTTATGGAATGGATCAAAGTGCAGAATAGTAACCTCTGCAGGCTGAAGAGGAGGCTCAGTCTGGGTCATGTTTAAAAGCTCCAGCTAATAGCTTGTGTAAGTCAATGTCAATGGGTCAGTTTGTCCCAGATAAACGAAAAAAAGAAGTGGCAGAGCAAACATTGCTGTAAAACAAGCCCACAAACTGCATGCCTTTGTTTCTGTCACTGTGTGAATTTTTACAGCAGTGGTTTTCCACACTGGAGCGTCTCTGTTCACTTGATTATTTGCCAAGTCAAACGCATTTCATTAAGAGTTTTGCGGCATTCTGTCAGATGACTTAACAAACTTTCATGCTATCTTCTAAAGAGCTTCCAATCACTATTTCTCCAGGCTTTCTGAAGATCTGTAGAGTTTCTGATTGAAATGCAACAACATTTTCAATTTTTTGTCCAGTACCTGACTCTTGTTTTAGGGAGGTTTTTTTTTTTTTTTTTGCTTAATCTTTTATTTTATTCTATGTCTATTGGACCTGAAAAGATCCGCCTGATACTGCAGAAGTGTAACTGCTCACTGCAATACGAGAGTCCAGAATTCAAATAAAACAAAAGAAGAATTAGATCAAATCTAATATTCTTGAAAAAACTATTTGTAGCAGTTTTAGTTTAACTGCTAAGAAAATTCACTCAATACTTTGTGGAATTGTTTAATAGATTAAATTATTTCTTGAGTGAGTGGGAAGGCAGGAAACTATTCCAGCTGGGAAAATAAAAAGCTGTGATTGTGTAGAATCGCATTTTTAAACATGCAGAGCACAATTTTCAGTCATAGCGTAAAAAAAGAACTGCAAAACAATTAAATTACCAAAAAAAGTAAAACATATATCTACATATTGTGGTTTCAAGATAGTTTAATACTTTAGCAAATTAAAGACATAACATTTTCTAGTTGCAGTTAATTTTTGGTAATAAAAATATGTGAAATGAAGCTATTTCTATGATTTAAGCTGACTCATTTCACTTATTTTTGTGAAATGAGTCAGATTCTTTCCTCATTCATCTTCATTGAATGTGTTTGTGTACCTGAACTTTTATCTATAGATGTGTTCAGAACCACCTGTTCTCTTACAGTGAGTCAGTCTCATTGGCAGCTTATTATTTGTCTGCAGAGTGCAGAGGACATGCAGACTGGATGCTGAGAGTCACATGGTTTCTGTTTAACCAAACTGGATTTCACTGCTTTCTTGAATTCAGTGACGTTGATGCTGATTAATGTGCAGCAGAGTTTTTCAGGTCACTCATAGCCTTAGACAAACATTGGGCCAAAGTGAGTCTGTAATTTGGCTAAACCCACTTAGTCTGCTGGTAGGAGAACAATGTCCACTTGTCTTTACAAACTTTAATTCACATTGGCTCATAAGGCAATTCCTAATTGTTGGACTGAAATCTATATTTGATGGAGCATAAGTACTAAAAAATCAGATCATCCTTTCACATTAAACTCAAAGGAAGACTGCATTATTTGTGTTTGTCTCTAATTTCCATTGCACAATATTCTTTTTACTTTAAACTGGCTGATATACGTGTTTAAAAGAAAAAGCAAATCTCTGGATAAAACAAAGAAAACAATCAGGTCTGTCTGGCCACTGGTTTGGTTTCAAGCATAAAGTTTCTAATTTCAGTATAATTTCACTGACGAGCAATGAAAAAAATCCAACATGATCTTATTATGTCATAGGCATATAAAGCTAAATGTATAAAAACAAACAAAATTTAGAATAATACACTAAACAGTAACCATAAAACTGCAATAGTATGCAGTTTATCCTGAGTAGTACAATTAAAGGGAAACAAGTACCTTGTAACCAATTTTATTCTTTTTTCTTTAGAACTACAACAAATATTACTGTTGCTAAAAACAATCATTTAAACAATTCATTGCTTTTATGACCCATAATCAGCATATAATGGTTTTATCTGTATTTCCTCAACCTTTCGGCAATGAAAATAAAAACACCAAGCTGCAAAGAAATGAAGAAAGTTTAATAGATTCCCCATCGGACCTGATTGATCGACTCAACAAGGTCGTTTGGCATCAGTTGTTCAAAACTTTGGACTGTTTAAAATAAATTTTATTTGGGTGCAAAATTTAGGAAAAAATATAGATTTTTAGCATTTTTCTACCAAGAATTGAGAGACATGAAAATAAAATAAAATAGTTTCCAAATGACTCACTTTGTGTTGTTGAGCCAGATATATAGCTGGCAAACATGTCTCAGAAAAATCTGCATTTCTAACACCTCAGCGGATGAAAATGTAAACATATCTCTGTAATGCTTGAAAAAAACTGCTAAACTGGAATATTATTTACATTATTTTGCTGCTGAGCTGTCAGTCAAACACATACACCGCACACCCACTCAGGGGCTTGGACACTACACACACCTTCATATATCTACACAAACATGTATCTGTTTTTATTACGACGGATGTTACTGTTGCTAATTGTATACTCACTGATTTACTGTAAAATTATTTTCAACTAAAGTTGTATTTGTCCTCAGGTTTGTGTTCTACAATAAATATTTTTTACTTTAGTAACAGAGAGAGGAAGACAGAGGACACCAGACTCAGAGAAAGAAGTTAGAATTGTTTTTTTTGGGCAGTGATTCAGCAAAATTGATTTCAGGAAGAGAGAAAGAGAGGAGGAGGGAGGGAAACGTGTGAGACTTTCACAAACTTCACCACAAAGTTGTCCCACTCACCAGGGAAGCAGCTCCTTTCTGTCACAGCTTATTGGCTTTGTGCTACATTCAATTCTCCAAAGCACTTAATGCCTTCATGTCAACACTTGTTTTCAATCAGATGCTTTTTGGTGTGTCTACATCATTTAATGCAGTTGTTTTAAGAATCATCTCTCCTTCCTTAACTACAAACATTTATAATTGTTGTGGATAAAACTCCCAGCTCTTTTTTTTAAAGTCCCGGCACACGGCTTGACTCTGACCACTTTTTCCCTGATGTGGTGGCGATTTATAGCGGCTCCAGAAAATCCTTGGCATCTGCACAGCACGTTTCTCATTGGCTCGTGCTTCATCCTCTCTGCTGTTTCTTTCCTGTTTTTGCGGACTCTGTGTTGGCAAGATTACTTTACTGATAAAAAGTCTGTGAAGAGAAGAGGAGGGAAATGTTTGTATAACAACCATGCACACTTGGTGCGCTGTATGAAGGATTTTTAATACATAATTTACTAAACATGAATGTAGCAAAGTACGTTTATGTGTGTAATTACTGTTAGCAATCACATGTGTCCTCTTTAATAGTGTTTCCATGGTGACCAGGAATAGTTATAAGGTCTTCTAGCCACAGCTTTGGAAAAAGAAGTGCATCTGTGCTGCGATACTCTACGCAGATCTCTGCAATCTGGGGGGATTTGGTATTCAGCTCTCAGCCCAGAAAAGCAGGATTCTCCTCTAAACTTCATGAAAATTCACTTTTCCTGGACTCAACTAGTTTGTTTTAAATGCAACTGGAAAGATAGACAGAAATAATTCATGAAATTAGGAGAAAATAAATGGATGAGTGGGTACTAACAGTAACTCTCAGCAGCCAAGTTCATATAAATAGTTTCTGTAAATGTGTCCTTTCTCTGTTTCCCTCCACAGGGAGCGCATGCGGCAGTCGGCCATGTATGACTTGTGTCTCGGCATGAGGCAAGTTAGCCAGGAGTTTGTTCGGCTGCAGCTAACCTACGACGAGTTTCTCTCAATGAAGGTGCTTCTGCTTCTCAGCACAGGTAGGCAGCCAGCCTTACGGCGCGCTCCATTTATTCTCTCTTTGTACAGAAATGTTGATGAAAAGTAGAGCTGGACGACATGGGTGAAAAATGGGTCACGACATTTTATATCAGCCCATATTGGTAATTATTGTTTTACTTTTTAGTTTGAAATATCGTCAAAATTGTAAAGTGACTATTCCTGTTTTATCAACTATTTCTTCTCAAGCTATTGTTCTAATTTTTTTTCCTTCACTCCACACTGTTGTTTTTATTTTTTAAGCAGATATAAGGCAGGTGGTGTGGCTAGCTTGATGCTACCCACCTTGCTTAGCTAGCCATGAATTTTGAGAAGCTAAAGCAGAGGAATCAAAATTTAATTTCAGACCACATCAAGATCTTTATTTGCATTATATTCAGCGGAAACCATCTTAACATTACCACAGACGTTAATATCTTCAACGTTTGTTATCTCTGCTCTTGAGGATACAGCCAATCATCACCAAGCAAAGTACAAGACGCTGCTGGATTGACTGCCATTAGCGAGTCAAGTCGGATTTTCTCAAGTTCTTTACCTTTCTTTTGAATATTTTAGACATGCTCTATGAAAAATCTGCAAATTGGCAAATTTTCCACAAATAATTTGGAGAGATATTCCACAGAAAAATCTGTGAATAGGTGAATACGTTTATACTGAACCGCGACTAAGCAGGAATCCTGTAATATTGATGTTATTCTATAAAGTTACCCTATACTAAAAAGCAGTTCCACACTATAATACCTTCTGCACCAACATTTACACCTGACAGCAGTCATCTGCTGCTCCTCTTCTGGAAACAGCCACATCCAGACAGAGGAGCTTGGATCATCACTCCTCTAAAACCCTTCTACACTTCTTCTGACGCTTTGCATTGAACTTGGCGATGTACGGTTCGGATGCAGCTGCTCCCTGTGCACTCTTCCTGAGCTTATCTGATGGCCATATGAAGCTTTGAGGTCTTTAGCGACTGACTCTGCAGAAAGTTGGTGACCTCTGCCTACTCTCCCCCTCAGCATCTTCTGACCTTTCTCTGTGATTTTATGTAGCCTTCCACTCCCCTCTGAGAGACTGTTGTTGCCATTTCCTTCGGCTGCTTTATAAAATCATTTGCAGTTGACTCTGAAATATTTAGTCATGAGGAAATTTCACAGCTGGACTTATTGCATCCTGTCATGGTAGTATATGACATTCACTGAGCTGCTTTGATTCAGTATTTCAGACATGTTTGTTGAAACATCTCTACTTGAAAGGTGCTGTAATGGCACTGAAATGATTATCGGATTAATCGTAACAGTTATTGAAATAATCATCACCTTCCAAAGATAATAGCACAAGACATTTTTTTCTCAAAAGTGTTTTTACTTTTTGACTAAATCATCTTTTGGCAAAAAACAGATGTTGATTTGTTTTGCCAAATTCCCTTTTGACCATTATTTTAGAAAGTTGACATAATGTGTTAATCGTTTAATCATTAACTGTAGTATACAGGCTTCAAAAAGGTCCATTTGCTGAAAAATCACGACATATTCAGACTATAGAAAATATATATGTACCGTATATACATTTCGCACTTAAGATAAAAAGTCCTTTGTCTGTGAAGACACTTGCCCAAAACTCCTTAAGTGACATAGTTTTAGCTTCACCCAGTTCAAATTCACTAAAGAAATTCTGTTTTGGCTTTTTAGACAATAAAATGTTTATTTTCTTATTTTAAAAATGAATTGTTTATTTGCAGCTTTTAAAGTATTTGTAATGTGTAATTAAGCGGTTGAATGAAAAATCTGTAGAATAATTAATTACTAAAATAATCATTAGTCGCAGCCCCATGCTGGATGTCACACACCTGTCATAATGGAAGGGACTGGAACGCCTGAGGTCAATCATTTGCACTGGTTAGTGAATGTTTTTAGAGATATGATGTACATATGGGGTAACACAAGGATCATCTGCAGCTTTTTGATTGGTGGAAGGAATTATGCTTTCAGGAAAAAAAAAGTGTTATCCACTTCTCTATGGTGCATGCTTCAAGTGCAACCCACTTTACCAAAATAGAAAAAAAGAAAAATCACAATATTGGATATGAAACAAGTTAAATTTGTTTTAGCAGAATCATGCCTAAAAATGTCTCTGTATGTAATTTATGCATAATTCTTTATAAAAAAAAATTCTCAACTGTATGAATAAAATTAGAGCAGTTATAATTTGGATGTCTGTGTTAAAAAAAAAACCTCCCACCTTGCTTTTACCAAAAGGCTGCTGTTCACATAGGAAGTGTACTGATAAGGTGTTTGGTGTTCTGCTCCAGCACACACCTGAGACAGTTTTGGCAGGAGCAGCTCCTCTTGCACCCACTATCATGCTTTTATAAAGTCTGTAAGGTCACACTTTAATCTCATTCGTAGTAATCCGTTAACAAAGATCCAAACTGTGAAAACAGAGCTGATGTTGCAGAGAAGTGTTAGCTATTTGCAAAGGAAAGGGCGACATTTTGCCACTCTGTGACGGAAATGTTTTCTGCTCTTGTTTGATTTTAACCAACATCATTGCAACAGAAAGTCTCATCCTGATGCCACATCCTGCCAAAGTGCACCCACAAACTCTGAAGCCATAGTTGAACAGATAAGCTTCTTCTTTTGTGACTGTTACTGTCATTTTAATTATAATAGATAAATATGTCTTAAATGGTAAAAAAAAAAGAAAAAGAGAGAGAGAGTTTTAGTTACTGTGCCTTTTCTACATATTTTTGCCACATTAGCAGCACAAAGTTTAAGATGTAAAATTGGATTTTTATGTGACAGACAAAAAGATGCAGAGCTGGGAGGTGAAAGCTAAATGATACGTGGTTTTCCAACAGTTTACACAAATAAAAATGTGTGAAGTGCATTTGTATTCAGCTTTACTGAGTTTGCACTTTGTTGAAGCATTTGTGTTGCAAGCCTAGTGTTATTTGCCACATGTCTGTACAAATACAGACTGAAATTTTGTAAGGACCCTGAGTTTTCTTTTAGCTTTTTTAGTGTATGTGGTGATTAGAGCACTTACAGGAGCAACTGGTTGCAGTGGAGTTTATTTAGGGCTACAAGAGTAAATGGGTCTGACTACAAATGCACGCCACACTTTTAAGATTTTAATTATAAAACCATTGTTTTTACACTTCAAATGTATGCAGTAAAATCGAAGTGGATAATTTTGTTGTCACAAAATATCAATCAAATACATAAATACAAGTAATTTGGTTGCAAAGTGATATCATTTATTAAATAAATATTACATACTGATACTTTTACAATAGCTTACATTATGAATTCTTTGCTGCAGTTGCTTTAATTTGTGATGAAAGACGTCACCATTTATGCAAAGGTATGTAGAAAGTGGTGTCAGTAGTGAACAGAAAACAGTTACACTTCTCATGTAAGCTACAACAATTTATGCAATTGTGTCAGATCACAAACCAGAAGATAATGCAGAGAGGAGTATTTCAAAGAACAGCCCTTCAACACTGCGCAGGTTTATAAGCACCCTCACCCATCTCATTTTAAATCAACAGTGAAACAATGTTTGAGTGCAAAAAGGTGAGCAGATCTGTTGATATTCTGCTGCAGGTCATTAACTATTAACACAGGAGCACTTTGTTAAAATCAACCTAACACAAGAGGCTGGAAGTTTTCAAGTGACAATGCTTACTGCTGCTAAAGTATTTAATGTGCCAGACTGCACATCTTTGTACTTTTTATCACAGAATAAAAATCAAATCATTTCCAATAGTTTTCTAAATATATATATATTTTTTTTTTACTTTTTGGGAATTATGTTGAATTTCGTCCTTCATTATCTGCGTCTGCTTTATCCTGAAGCTAAGAGAAGTTTTGGCACAAATTCCTTCCCTCTCACTAACACTGCTCCTAGTTTGTGACTTCAAGATGTAAATTAGGAAACTTTGTGCTGTTAGATCTCACCTGCAGAAGCCACAATGTGTTAATGTCAGGTACGGTGTTTAGGGTGACAATTAGTCCAGGTATTTCACTTTTCTCCTCAGAACATTTAAGACAGAAATACTGAAATACTTGTCCTGTTCTTCTCATAGTAGCCTAAATACTGTGTGGGTTTTTGTCCCTTTGAATGAATGTAGGCTATTGTGCAACAGGGGAAATATGTCGCTATTCCACCTGTTTGGAGCAAATCTGAGCTACAAAGTTGGAGTCAGCAGGTCAAACTTTTTAAAGATCGGTGGTCAGTGCAGATTTATGAATAAAGATGGCATTGACACACCAACCGCATAAAAAATATACATATTGTAAGATGAGCAGATCATGACATTCTCACTTAATCAAACTGTTTCTTTGACCTGTCGGCATTAGTCTGTATTCATGGTTTTTGTCTAATCTCACAATATTATTAAAGTTCAACAATTCATACAGCTTTTAAACTGGGTGACCCGATAATGTAGAACAAATTTTCATTTGGAGAAGCATTTTTTCAGACTTTTCTGGTTTTATATGGTTTTCTATGGCATTACAGAATGGAAAAAAAAATATTCATTATTGCTGAGGTATAAAACAAATGAATAATTTCTTTTTATTAAGGGAAACATAACCGTTGTTTTGTCTTTTCACTGACAGGTTCAGTGTGTTTTTTCCATGACAAGAGTATCTGATTGATTTTTTTCATTAGAAATGGTAATGGGAGCTTTATGAGAATCCAATAGTGTTCCTGAAACAATTTCTTCAGTTTTGTTGTATTTATTTTAAGAGCATTTTCATCACTTTATTGAACAACTTAATCAACATCATTGATCCTGGGATGAGTGTTCCTTATTACTGTGGAGTATTTTACCTTTACTTGCTTTGACTTAAATATCTTAACAGCATTTTCACTTCGTCCAGTTATATTTGTTGTATTTTAATTTTCTTCCCAAAATCTCACGTTTGAATATGTTTTAGTTTTAGTTGCCATATTTGAATGTAACATCGTTTTATCATGG